GTCGTCGCTCTTCTTTGTTGTCGGTGTAGAAGGCGGGTCGTTCTCATCGCGGCGCGGGACGATCCTTGTGGGTATCCATATCTTGTTGTTCGACGAGAAGGGCGGCGAAGATAGATGCTTTCGAGACAGCTCCCTGTTGCCGGAGGAGTGCCTTGCAGGTTCGCCATTCAGGCCTGAGCCCTGCGAGCACGATGTTGACGAAAATTTCTTCAGAGATCGAACTATCGTGCTTCGCGATTTGATCGCGTATGCTCCGGCAACGTTTGATGTAAGTCTTGGCTTTCTCCCCGGGTCCCATTTTCACCTCCATCAGTTGCTGGAGTTGGCTAGTACAATTTCGTGAGGTACCAGCTTCGTTTCAAACGAGCGCATGTCTAGCTGCTCCGTCGTTGACATGTTGCGCGGTAAGACGCTATACACCATGAGCGGGTTATTGTAATACTGCGCTATGGCGTCGTCAGCATCCGCCGTTGGTCCCGCGTAGTTGCCATTGAAGTAATGGTAAAACTGCGCGTTTTGCAGCAGCAGCTCTTGAGGAAATTCGACTAGGCTGAGAGAATTGCAATATCACTTGGACGGGGAACCTTTGGTGTTGATGTGCTCGTTTCGAGGGAGAAGGTTTGCGGGCGGTTTCGCGGCCGGTTGAGTGGGTTGGGAGGAGGTTCCCGTGTTGCCGTTCCGCAATGTCTCGAGTCCTTGCTCCAGACTTAATAGTCGCTGAAGTAGTTGCTCTAGTGCGACGGTACTGATCGTCGTCGTCGCTTTCGAGCTCGCAACCGGATTTGGTTGGGCTTGAGCCGTTGGATTCGTTTGACCTCCTGATCCTCCGGCCTCTTGACAAGCGAGCGTGTGCCGGAAGCCACCATTAGTTCGCAAGAACTTTCGGAAGTGGCAGTGCGAAGAAAACCTGAGTCGCTCTCATACCATATTACGATCCCACAGGGGACCATGCCAGGATCAGCCTCAGTTTGTTCGCATAGAGATATTTGCAGTGGAATTGAATGACTCCTAGTCAGAGTGGATGTAAAATGACTGAATTGGATATATAAAACATGGAATATGAATCGACCTAGACTAGTCATGTACTCTAAGGGGTGCATTCCTTGGTGAGATAAAAACCATGTGACGTGGAACCTGTTTCAAACAGGTTCCTGCCATTTTCCTTGGCGATGCAACTGCCCGATGCTTCGGCGCTAACGGTCAAGATGCTCCAACTGTACGCGACTCTTCGCGTCATCTTGGCCATTCGTATTCATACCCGGTTATGCCTTCACCTTGTAATGTACGTGAATGCTTTCGTATTTTCCTTATCGTAACAATATTTACCTCGTTCATCTTTACCATACCTCTGCACGTTATTCAGCTGTGAGCACCCTAAATTACTGAAAATGATTGTAATCTCCTGCTGTACGCATAACCACGTCAGTTTTGAATTGGTACTAGATGCAACAGTGTGAAGGAAGGGATTTCAGTAAATATACGTACAACTCTCAGGTCATGCAAACAAGCACACCCTAGATCGGCACTTGATTTTTTCTGCCCGCCGTCTTTCCAACAGCCATTTATATTTATTCTCAAGGCTGAATTTCATGAAATTTCAAGTCCGTGATGCAGCAAAAGCACACTACGAGTTCTGCCGCTGCCTCTTGCTTAGGGAATCCAGCCCTCTTTCCTCCTGCACCTTGCCACTTGAAGCGTTAATATTCGCAGAGTGGACACTTGCAGGGGTAACACTTGTAGTGTTCACATTCGCAGAAGTCCTTGATCCGGGTCGCATGAGCGGATTCAGCTCGAGTCCCTCCAGATCCTCTCCCTCATACTGACTCACCCCAGCCTGCAGGTGAGCATCAGCATGACTGGATTGAGTCAGAGTACCCACAGCATGTATTGCAGGAGCCACTTCTGTTTCCGAAATTACTCTCCCGCTCCCGCACCCTCTACCGCTCCCTCTTCCATTCCCTCCCCCAGTCCCTTTTCCAGTCTCTTCCCCCCTTCCTCTGCCTGTAGGTACACTTGTGTACGCTCCAGTAGCGTCCTCGGTAGAAGCCATACCAGTGTACGCCTTATTAGCTTCCTCGTTAGAAGCCCTTCCAGTGGAGACCGTTCTTAGGTGTAGCGGGATTCCCATTGCTGCAGTATGAAGAGCCGTAGCTAGAAATGTAGCAGGAGCACTAGCCATCTCCGTGCTCACTATAGCAGTTGAAGGGGGTGCTAGTAAAGGGGTTTTTGATGAGGGAGGTATCACAGGAGGAGGTGTGGAAGAGAGTGCTCTAGATAACGGTGATTCCAAGGAAGTTGGTTTCAGTGAAGACAGAACGTGTCGACGAGGCAGTGACCCAACGTACTGCAGCAGGCTCGGCTGCCCGTTTGTCCGGCTCGGGCCTTGGCCGAGGTTCGGGCCCAGGCTAAGGCTTGGGTTTGGGCCCAGGCTTGCGCCCAGGCTTGGGTTGCGGTCCAAGCCTGCAATATTCTCTGCTTCCAGTATCTGATGAATTGATAAAAGAGCAGCAGGAGAGGCAGTGGCAATGGCACTGGCAGTGGCAGCAGCGGCAATGAGAGAAGCAGCAGCATCAGAGGCAGCAGCAGGAATAGCAGGAGGAGGAGGAGGAGCAGCAGTGGAGATTCCACGCTGTGATGCCTCCTTGAACCAGGATCGACCCCCACGAGCAGCAGCAGCACTGGCAGCAGCAGGAGTGCCAATACTAGCACCAGCACTAGCAGCAGCACTGGCATCAGCACTAGCAGCAACACTAGCATTAGCAGCAGCATCAGCACTAGTACCAGCAATAGCAGTGGCAGCAGCAGCACTAGCAGCAGCAGCAGCAGCACTGCCGCTTCTGGAACCAGATATAGAAGGGGGATGCATAATGCTCGCCTTGCGCTTGGATGGGAAAGAAAGAGTGGGTTGGGATGGGAGAGTGGGGCGGGATTCAAAAGGGCTTTCTTTCGCACTACCAGCAGCAATCCCTATTGCTTTCTCAAATAGCTTCTCCAGACCTCCTTCACCTTCCCATCTCGCCCCTCGATATTCCCTTCCACATTCTCTTTCCCCTTCCCTTCCCCCTTCCCCTTCCCACTCCCCTTCCTCTTCCCCTCCCCCTCCATCTCCTTCTCCTCCTCCCTCCCCTCCTCTACCTGCTCCTCTCAAGCCTCCTCTCCCTGCTCCTGATGGTCCTGCTACAGCTGCTGCCTCTGAAGCTGCTGCCGCAGCCTCCCCTTTTCGGGATGTCCTCTTACCTCGTGCCCTGTGGCACGTCATGTGTCCTCCAAGCGCCTGTGATGTGGGGAAGGTGCTGCCGCAGAGAGGACAAGAATACCCGCCCGGCCTCTGCCCCAGCATGCCTGGGAGATGGTCCGAAGAAAGCTGAGCTGGAGGCTGGGTGGCGGCATGAGGCTGGGCGGCAGCATGAGGAGGGGCGTTTAAACCAGCACCAGATGAAACTGAAACGGTCCCACCACTACCACCATAGCCACCAGAAGCAGTTGAACTTGCAGCAGCAGTAGCAGCAGTGGCAGCAGCAGCAGCGGCAGCAGCAACAGCAGCAGAGGGAGTGGGACTTGCCACTCCAAGCCAGGAGGACAGGAGGGCCTGTGCTCTCTCGCTCAAAACAACCTGAGTATGAGGATGCTGTTCGGCTAATAAATATTGATGTTGCTCGATTGATAGATCCTGATGTTGCTCGGCCGGTTGGACTGGATATTGCACATGAGAAGTCTCAAACGCCAGGAATCCTGCCTGTGATCCTGCCTGCTGGTGCTGTGCTTGTTGCTGTAGCTGTTGACGCGCCTGCTGTTCTGCTTCTCGCTCTTCCTGCTTCTGTCTTGCCTGCAGTTCCAGTTGCCTCAGAAGCAGAAGCTGCATCTGTTGCTGTGTCTCTTGTTGTGCATGCTGATGAGCTTGCTGCTGAGCTGCTTCTTGCTCCTCCTGCCGCTGCCTTGCCTGTTGCAGAAGCAGCAGCTGCTGTGAGGGTGATTGTGCCGCCTCTTGTCGTACCTGTTGCTGTTCTTCTTCTCGCTCCTCATGCAACTGTTTTACTCGCTGCTCCAAACCCAGCTGCTGCTGCAGCTGCTGCTTATGAATGTCCAGCCTTTGACTCTTCTCCTGCTCATCTTGCTGCTGCTGCTGCAACCAGCCTTGCTGCAGCTGCTGCAACCAGCCTTGCTGCTGCTGCTGCTGCTGCTGCTGGAACAAAGCTTGCTGCTGCTGCAACCAGCTTGGCTGCTGCTGCTGCTGCAACCAGCCTTGCTGCTGCTGCTGCTGCTGCAACAAAGCTTGCTGCTGCAACCAGCTTGGCTGCTGCTGCTGCTGCTGCAACCAGCCTTGTTGCTGCTGCTGCTGCAACCAGCCTTGCCGCTGCTGCTGCTGCTGCTGCTGCTGCTGCAACAAAGCTTGCTGCTGCAACCAGCTTGGCTGCTGCTGCTGCTGCTGCAACCAACCTTGTTGCTGCTGCTGCTGCTGCTGCAACCAGCCTTGTTGCTGCTGCTGCAACCAGCCTTGCCGCTGCTGCTGCTGCTGCTGCTGCTGCAACAAAGCTTGCTGCTGCAACCAGCTTGGCTGCTGCTGCTGCTGCTGCAGCCAGCCTTGCTGCTCCTGCTGCTGCATCTCATACCGCCTCTGCTGCTGCAGATCCTGTAGCTGAAACTGGTATTGCTGCTGCTGCAGAAGATCTGTCCAGTAACTCTGCTGCTCTGACTGCTGCTGTTGCTGCTGGGTTTGCTGACGGACCTGCTGTAGCAATGCCTGCTGTTGTTGCTGTTGATGCTGCTGCTGCTCCTGCTGCTGCAGCTGCTGCAGCTGCTGCTGCAGCATAAGTTGCCGCAGCAGAATCAGCTGATGCCGCTCCTGCAGAAAAGACAATCTAGCAGCATCAGCTGCCGCTTCTGCTGCTGCCTTAGTGTCAGTCTCTGTCATTGTAGCGCCTCTGCTCTCAAACCCCGTGATATCTCTTCCCATGCCTGTCCCCATACCTATCCCCATGCCTGTCCCCATGCCTGTACCCATGCCTGTACCCATGACTGTACCCGTGCCTGTTCCCATGCTTCTTTCCATGCCTACTCCCATCTCTTCATCCATCCCCATACCTCCCCTCATGTCCACTCCTCTTTCCTCGTCATCCCTCCTCTCTGCTCCATCCCAGCTTGTCTCATCCGTTCCCTCTTCATCCTCTCTGATTGCACCACCTTCGAGGCGCCTAAAACATGTTCCCATGCTTCTTCCCATGCCTACTCCCATCTCTTCATCCATCCCCATACTGCCCCTCATGGCCACTCTTCTTTCCTCGTCATCCCTCCTCTCTTCTCCATCCCATCTTGTCTCATCCCTTCTCTCTCCATCCTCTCTGGAAGCACCAATTTTGAGGCGCCTCAGAAGTGTTCTCATGCTTCTTCCCATGCCTGTCTCATCCCTTCTCTCTTCATCCTCTCTGATGGTACCACTACCCTCTATATGCTCTGGCCTGATTTCCGCTCCCCTATTTTTTTTCCTCCCTCTCCCCTCCCTTTTCCTCTCTTCCCCTTCCCTTTTCCTCCCTTCCCCCTCTTTTATGCTGCCTTCCCTCTCCCTTATCCTCCCTTCTCCCACCCGTCTCCTCCCCTCTCCTTCCCCTTCCCTTATTCTCCCACCCTCTTCCCCACCCCCTGCCCATATCCTTCCCTCTCCTGCGCTTAGCCCATCTCCCCTTTGGGTTATACAGTCTTTGTCTGACTGGAATCCTAACAAATTCAGCAGGCGAGGAGAAGGCGCGTTTCTGGGTATTGCATCATCCCTTACCGAGTATGATTCTAGCACTGCTGGTACTGTCTGTGACTGTAACGAGAGATCTTGTACCGGGGGGTTAACTGTAGCGGGAGAAGCGACATATCGAGGGGTGGGAATAGAACCACGTCCAGGACTGGGCGGCAGCAATGACAGTGTCTCCAAACGTTGCCGCCCGGAACCAGAACCTGCCGAGGCCTCGTTGCCTGGAGGAACCTCAGTCTTTGCCGCCCAGAACCTGGAGCCAACGCCTGCTGATGTGGCAACGACAGGTGATGACGCGGCCTGGCGTGTGTCAAGGAGAGGGAAAGCAGTTGGAAGAGGGGGAGGGGGAAAGGGTGGAGGACGGGGGGGGGGAGGAGGAGGAGGGGGAGGAGGAGGAGGAGGAGGAGGAGGAGGAGGAGGAGGAGGAGGAGGAGGAGGAGGAGGAGGAGGTGGTGGTGGAGGAGGAGGAGGAGATGGAGGAGGCTGGCTGAGATCGTGGTTTGATTTTTGGCTCGTTTGCGTTATTGGAATGAACTCAGGGGAATGGAGGAGAGGGACAGGAAGCGCCCCTGGGGAAGGGAGAACCGGAGAGGGGAGGATAGGAGAAGGCAGGATTGGAGAAGGGAGGAGGAATGGGGAAGGATGGAGAGAGACTGCGGACGTGTGAATGGTGGAGAGGGAGGAGGAGGAGGAAAGCCATCCGGTTTGCTCCGGTATAGGCAGATCCAATAAGGCAAGAGGGTCTCCCAGTGGCGGAGCGTATTCAAGGAGCGCTTGGTAGGGGAGAATCGGCAAATTCCGCAAAATACTACTCCCCCGGGCTGGCCCAGCGGCGGGAGCTGCGGAGGCGGTGGCGGCGGCAGAGGCGGCGGAGGAGGCGGAAGCGCCCAGGGAGGGGTTCACAGAGAAGCGCGCCGACTGCTGCGGCAGTGACTCATTGTGCAGCGGCAGCGACTCATTGTGCAGCGGCAGGGACTCATCGTGCACCGGCAGCGACTCATCGTGCACCGGCAGCGACTCATCGTGCACCGGCAGCGACTCATCGTGCAGCAGCAGCGCTGCCGGATTGCGCGCCGCCGGCGCCGGCGCCGGCGCTGGCGGCGTTTGCGCATTGGATTGGACGTGCTGATGTGAAGATGATGGTGATGATGGCGAAGGGATCACCATTTGTAGTAGTACTAGCCCCTGCGGGCTTACAACTACTAGTTGTAAGGTTCAAAAGGCTCGGCGCCTCTGAATACTACTAGTATTCAGTAGTACGCAGTAGTAAGTTCTTGTCAACTTGAAGCAGAAAAGCTCCCGCGGCTCCCAGCAGGCTGCTGCCAGCAGAGTGCTGCCAGCAAAAGGCTCCACTCTCCGGTGGAGAGTGCTGATGGTGGCGAAATGCAGAGAGTTCAACTACGTTCGCCGCGCGACGTTGTCACGGTGAGGAATGTTGCGGCGCAGACAAAAAGAGTCTAGTACAAGCCGGAATTTTGAAAAGCCAGATCAATCCACCATTGCTCAAAGCATCACTCGAAAGAAAAAAATAGTCTTTGCTGCGCAGGGAAATGCTCGGAGTAAGCTCATTTCAAGACGAAAGGTCCCCTCAGCCTGCTGACTTCAATGCTAACCTGGAATGAATGTTGCTGGCAGGCAATCAGAGTCGCTACACCGGCCTGCCTCAGACTGGCCATTAGCTCTCAGTGCCTGGTAAGGGCCCCTTCGAGACTCACGAATCCCAAGGACAGCCACTGTTCTTCGATGAATTTGTGGTGCCTCCTCTCAGAAAATATCATCGTTGCTTCTTGCCTCTGCTGCTTTGCATGTGGTGGTAATATTCCGCTCCCGCCAGGTGCGAGCGAGTGGCTTACAACAACAGAAGTCGCAAAGTCTTGCAGTACAGAGCTGCCGCAGCTTCTGCCATATTCCGCAAGCGCGTCAATCTGCTGGTGGAACTGCTGAAACTATATAACAGTGCGTGATCCCCGCCGCGGTGGGCTAGTACTAAGGATCGCGTTAGAGGAGATATTACTTGCATTCGCGATGGGGTGAATTGGTTTGTGTGGGGGGGACGTGACGCGGTCACGTGAGACGCGCGTGCAAGTCTGGAAAGATTGTGGCTTTGAATGGTGCTACCTCCGTGGCACGTCGAGGGAGCAAATTAGGATTCGCTAAGAGAAATTCTCGCGTACACCACATTTGCCGCAGTTTGACAAGGGCCCACAACTTTTAATTCCAGCCAGAACCTTTGTTATCCACACACTGGATGTGTTGTTGGTGGCTGCTGCTGATGCTGGCAATCCATTCGCAAACTAAATTTTCATTTGTCACTGGCTTGTCTGTATACGTACCAAGGTGTAGTACTTCTGTGTACTTCGGTGTGTCTTCTGATGGTCGAACAAGATGAGAAAATCGAGTGATATGTGACAGGCTGTCACGTCAGGTGACAGAGATGTTCGAACACGTGACTTCGCTCAACAGACGACGTCCCACAGCCATCGCCAGATGGTATTGATTGCATGACGAAGAAAACTTAGGAATCGTTAGTTACAAAATCAGTGATTCGTTCTTGTTGCAGGCGTCGCAGGTGCTCTACCTCATTCTGTCCGAACGGCCTCATTCGAACAGCAAACGACACTTCATGCTGGACGTGACAGATCTGTTTAATTTAGCGACCTTTTAGGCGAGATAACGGAGGATTGGCGAAGACTTCACAAGAATTCGCGAAGCGTGTAACTATATTGTTCGAACCAAGAGCTTGTTCGCATTTCGAGGTGACACGCCCTTAATACATGTAACCTCAGTATATGAAATTTGCGAGTGAGTACAACATTCGCGTCGTGTATGCAACACTGGAGGGCATTTTGTACAGAGTCGAGATTCTCTATCGAGGGGAATTTGGTGCAGTTCGCACAATTCATCCCAGCTGACGCTGGCAGTCGAATGAACCTTCCAGAAACAACCCCCCAGTGAAGCCACAAAGGTTCTTTTGCAAACCGTGATCCAGATTCTGTACAGTTTTTCGTAATGCCCAGATGCACTAGGGGTTTCGTGGTCTCAGTGCTCCGTAAGAATACACCCTGTTTTGCGATAGCAGAGCTTCTGGTTGCATAACGTACACGAGATGAAGAACGCCACAACCTTCAGAACAATTTGTTAAAAAGTGGTTAGTTGAGGTGATGCACGTTACAAAACAGCACGTTAAAGTTGGAAAAACGGTTGGGAAGGGTATCCTGCGATAACGGTAATCTTTTGCCCCATTCCAAGTCCGTCACCCGATGAGGCAAGGTACGCTTTAAGCCACCTGCACGCAAGAACCAAGCCTTGTAGCCAGCGATCGAGCAAGGTGAGCAGGTTGAGAATTGAGTGTACAATAACCATGCCCCGTGCTGCTTCGGATTCCGGAACAGCTTATCAGCAGCAGTCAATCCACGTGGATATTACGGAGTCCAGCGTGGTTTGCGAGGCCTGCCTTTTTCCTGGTTCCAAAATGACTCGAACGTATTCGAACCGGCAAACCAGGATCCTCAGCACATTATCATATATTTTTGTGTTCACGTGCGTGCTCATACTACACCCTGTTTCTCACTACACTGAACTGTGCCGAACTGGTGGAAAACCTTGTTATCTACGATTTGTCTGATTGAACCATACCGAAACTTAATCTAACCACCGTTAACCGTGCTTTTCCCATCTTGACTTCACTATAACCGAATTCACAATGGCGAGAAAGAGGGTGTATTAGCCTATCATGAAAGTGTGTCACGTGGTGGTGACTCACCTATCGGCTGTGCACCATGCTCGAACTTTTGATTTGAAGGCGATCTTGCTGACACATCCAGCTGTTGTCAAAACTCAAAGTACAGTACCGTGTCCTCACAGAGATATCACATGCCCGATGTAGGGTGGTGTTGGAAAACCATTTGGCTAGAACGCGCAGAACTGTTGTTTCTTTCTGCTTCTAGGCCATGCCTGGTGTGCAGAGACTGAGCAACACCACCCAACAAGCCCATTCTGAAGTGCTTCAAACAAAAAAATACTATTCACAGTTCCGAGCTATTCGACAGCGCGCTCTAAACAAGACTCGTAGAGCATAGATGTTTCTTTTGTGAAACTGGAACCGATAATGTTGTGTAGGGGTTTCGGGTACTTCAATTCTAGCTAATTCGAAAATCCCTATAATTCGCCTCTTAACCTCCTGCACCTTGCCTACTCACCTTCCTACACCGATATTAACGTGTGTGACGAGATTCTACCACATAAGACAGCATCGACAGCCCCTTGCGAGTTCACAACCCGCGTTAAAGCCCAAGACCCGAATTACAAAAAAAAAAAGGGCAAACTGTGCACAGTTTGCCTACCGAACTCACAGTTGACCTCCCGAGCCAGGCAAGTAACCACAAAGGATCGCATACAAAAAACACTGAGTCGTTCAGCAGAACAGGTTTGGTTGGCGATAGTCCCGACAACACCCTCCACAAGGAACATCCGCTCAAAGTGTGCACAGTTTGCCCTTCACGTAATTCAGGTCGTGCCCGTCCTCATAGTACTCTTAGATTCAATCTAGCAGAAGAAAACGACAATATAGCATAGGACACGAGCACTTCCACATTCATTCCGGGACCCTTAGAACTCCAGGCGTATCTATCCTACGGCAAAAGTAGAAACCCCAACGGGATTGCGGTTGCCAAGTCGCTCGCACCACCCCCCTCCGTGCGGAATCGGACACAGATTGAACTTATATGGGTAGTAGCGGCATTAATGGCTTCATCGCGTGACCCTTCGCGTAAGAAAGCAGCGGAACGCGCACGCGTGGTAGATTTTAAAAGCAACAAACACCTTCACGTACGGGCCAGCCGACCGAATTTCCCGGCATCTTACGATAGAGGAGCCGAATGCCATCAGAACGACGATGGGAGCGAAAACGAGCAGAACAATGACTACGGCGAGAACACGCCACTGCAGTGACTCATTCCGAATGGAAGATTGCACGTCCAATCTCCTCTCATTGTGTCGCGCTAAAACTCGTTACAACTTCGAAGGCGCTTAGATCCCGTCATTTCGAAACTTGTTCTTGAACCACTTCTACCCTAACTCCCTCTCCCATCGGCCTAACATACATGTCTTTCGCGAAACCACGGCGTCAGTCCGCGATTTTAAAAAAGTCCCTGACTTTATCGAATGTCGGTCCAGCCAGATGCAGGTCAGTAGTTCTGCAGTAATCCGCCAATTTCGTACCGGAATAAGCACGCCATTTCGCGACTGTCCAGAGAAGCGTCGCGAACGCCTCCCCCCACCGTCGCCCACGGTTCCACCCACCGTCGCCCACGCTTCCCCCCACCGTCGCCCACGCTTCCCCCCACCGTCACCCACGCTTCCTCCCACCGTCACCCACGCTTCCCCCCACCATCGCCCACGCTTCCCCCCACCGTCGCCCACGCTTCCCCACACCGCCCACGCTTCCTCCCACCGTCGCCCACGCTTCCTCCTACCTTCATCCACGCTACCCCCCACCGTCGCCCACGCTTCCCCCCACCGTCACCAAGTCGTCCCCCCACCGTCGCCCACGCTTCCCACCACCGTCGCCAAGTCGTCCCACCACCGTCGCCCACGCTTCCCACCACCGTCGCCCACGCTTCCCCTCCCATCGTCCGCCCTGTCGCCTGGAAATTTCCCTCCCCGCCGAGGTCTCTTCCCTCCCACCTCTCTCCACGTCGTCATCACTCCCCTGCCTGTCACGTTCCCCCTCTTCATCACCATCGCTTCTCCACCTGCGCCGCCCACTCTCTCATCCGTGCCTATCGTCTTTAGGTTCGTTGTTGCTTCCCTTCCCATTGCCGCATTTGGTCGCTCTCGCACTCCCCATTGCCACCTTCTCTACTCCTACCACCCCACCCTTGCAACCTCCTTTCCTTCTCTCTCATTCTCCCTCCCTCCCTGCCTCTCACCCACCCTGGCCGCGGACGTATGGCGGGCCGGTCTTGAGCGCTGGGGATGGGGTCGTGACTCGTTCGCGGTGGGATGTGGGAGGGTGCGTGGTCTTGGGCCCCTACCCTTCTCTGTCTTGCACCAACCCCGCACGCATGGCAGGTGCTGCTGCGGCTTTGGAGCAGAGCGCAGGGCGCACAGCCGCGGCAACGCGTGCGGTCGGGCAGCAAGGGGCGCAGTGCTGCAGGGGGCACGGCAGGGGAGCGGGGGAGCGGGGCAGGGAGGGCGGTGTTTCGCGTGGCAGGGGAGGCGGAGGGGAGGGAGAATTGGGTCCAGGAATCCTCCTATCCCCCGTTCCACCCTTATACCCTGCCCTCCTGACTGGCTCTGTTCGTTCGTTCCCCCACAGTCGTCCTCCCCTCCCTTCTCCGTTGTGAAGGCACCGCTGCAGGTGGACGGAGTGACGTCGTACGTGACGCGGGAATGGGTGGGCTACCCGCATGCGATGTGCATGGATATGCCCAGCACGTCCGCGTTCCACTCATCCTTCCTTCATCTCATCATCCCTTCCTCTCATCCTCCTCTCCTCTTATCCTCCCTCCCTCTCATCCTCCCTTCCTCTAATCCTCTCTTTCTCTCATCCTCCCTTCCTCTCATCCTCCTTTCCTCTCACCCTCTCTTCCTCTCCTCCTCCCTTCCCTTCTTCCGCCCTTCCTCTCATCCTTCCTTCCTCTCATCCGCCCTTCCTCTCATCCTTCCTTCCTCTCATCCACCCTTCCTCTCGTCCTCCCTCCCCCTCATCCGCCCTTCCTCTCGTCCTCCCTTCCTCTCGTCCTTCCCCCCCCTCATCCGCCCTTCCTCTCGTCCTTCCCCCCCCTCATCCGCCCTTCCTCTCATCCGCCCTTCCTCTCATCCGCCCTTCCTCTCATCCGCCCTTCCTCTCATCCGCCCTTCCTCTCATCCGCCCTTCCTCTCATCCTCCCTTTCTCTCATCCTCCCTTCCTCTCATCCTCCCTTCCTCTCATCCTCCCTTCCTCTCATCCTCCCTTTCTCTCATCCTCCCTTCCTCTCATCCTCCCTTCCTCTCATCCTCCCTTTCTCTCATCCTCCCTTTCTCTCATCCTCCCTTCCTCGCATCCTCCCTTCCTCTCATCCTCCCTAACTCTCATCCTCCCTTCCTCTCATCCTCCCTTCCTCTCATCCTCCCTTCCTCTCATCCTCCCTTCCTCCCATCCTCCCTTCCTCTCATCCTCCCTTCCTCTCATCCTCCCTTGTATGCAGGTGCAGGTGAACCCTACCGTGCAAGAAGCCATGTTACTTACCACCGTTCTGGAACATGCTCTGTATATTGTTTTGATTCATAGTAGGCGTATGTACATTGATATGAAGGGAACTACAGCAGCCATCTCTGTTCAAATTAGCCAATGTGAATGGTTCAAGCTTGCAAACTGGGAGTGTTTTGTTATACACAATGAAGTTTGGAGGTGCAAAACTCAGAGTTGTCCATGACTTTCATGTTTACATTGTTGAGGTCTCAGGCATGCCGACGTAGAGAGGGTTTTATGCCTTGCAATGTCAGCAATATTGTTATCCGGTAGCGCATCCAACGGAAACGTGGAGAGTTCAAAATATGAGGGACCATGAGACGCGAGGGTTTGAAGACGGGCATGCACTGTAGATGTACGACCGCAACATTGAGAACGCGAGTGGATTGCGTCAGTATCTGCAATTGCTGGGACGTGAAAGGGCGAGGGAAGAGGGGGTTGGGATGGTAGCAAACAAGGAAAGAATGTCAAATGGCAAACAGAGAATGAAAATGTTGTGGAGGGGGAGGGGGGATGAGAGGAACGGAGGATGAGAGGAACGGCGGATGAGAGGGAGGGATGATGAGATGAAGGGATGACGAGAGGGAGGGAGGACGAGAGGAAGGGAGGACGAGAGGAAGGGAGGATGAGAGGGAGAGAGGTAGAGAGGAAGGGAGGACGAGAGGAAGGGAGGATGAGAGGAAGGGAGGATGAGAGGAAGGGAGGATGAGAGGAAGGGTGGATGAGAGGAAGGGCGGATGAGGGGGAGGGAGGACGAGAGGAAGGGTGGATGAGAGGAAATGAGGATGAGAGGGAGAGTGGAAGTGAGGAAGGGAGGATGAGAGGAAGGGAGGACGAGAGGGAGAGAGGAAAAGAGGAAGGGAGGACGAGAGGAAAGGAGGATGAAAGGAAGGGCGGACAAGAGGAAAGGAGGATAAGAGAAATGGAGGATGAGAGGATGGGATGATGAGATGAAGGGAGGATGAGAGGAAGGGAGGATGAGAGGAAGGGCGGATGAATGGGAGAGAGGATGAGAGAAAGAGAGGTTGAGAGGAAGGGAGGATGAGAGGAAGGGAGGATGTGAGGAAGGGAGGATGTGAGGAAGGGAGGATGAGAGGGAGGGAGGACGAGAGGGATGGAGGACGAGAGGAAGGGAGGATGAGAGGAAGGGAGGATGAGAGGAAGGGTGGATGAGTGGAAGGAAGGATGAGAGGAAGGGCGGATGAGAGGAAGGGAGGATGTGAGGAAGGGAGGATGAGAGGAAGGGCGGATGTGAGGAAGGGAGTATGTGAGGAAGGGAGGACGAGAGGAAGGGAGGATGAGAGGGAGAGTGGAAGTGAGGAAGGGAGGATGAGAGGAAGGGAGGATGAGAGGGAGAGAGGAATAGAGGAAGGGAGGACGAGAGGAAAGGAGGATGAAAGGAAGGGCGGACAAGAGGAAAGGAGGATAAGAGAAATGGAGGATGAGAGGATGGGATGAAGGGAGGATGAGAGGAAGGGAGGATGAGAGGAAGGGCGGATGAATGGGAGAGAGGATGAGAGAAAGAGAGGTTGAGAGGAAGGGAGGATGAGAGGAAGGGAGGATGTGAGGAAGGGAGGATGTGAGGAAGGGAGGATGAGAGGGAGGGAGGACGAGAGGAAGGGAGGACGAGAGGAAAGGAGGATGAGAGGAAGGGAGGATGAGAGGAAGGGCGGATGAGGGGGAGGGAGGACGAGAGGAAGGGTGGACGAGAGGAAGGGTGGATGAGATGAAGGGAGGATGAGAGGGAGAGAGGAAGAGAGGAAGGGAGGACGAGAGGAAAGGAGGATAAGAGAAAAGGAGGATGAGAGGATGGGATGATGAGATGAAGGGAGGAGGAGAGGAAGCGAGGATGAGAGAAAGAGAGGTTGAGAGGAAGGGAGGACGAGTGGAAGGGAGGATGAGAGGAACGGCGGATGAGAGGGAGGGAGGATAAGAGGAAGGGCGGATGAATGGGAGAGAGGATGAGAGAAAGAGAGGTTGAGAGGAAGGGAGGATGAGAGGAAGGGAGGATGTGAGGAAGGGAGGATGTGAGGAAGGGAGGATGAGAGGAAGGGAGGACGAGAGGAAAGGAGGATGAGAGGAAGGGAGGATGAGAGGAAGGGTGGATGAGAGGAAGGGCGGATGAGGGGGAGGGAGGACGAGAGGAAGGGTGGACGAGAGGAAGGGTGGACGAGAGGAAGGGTGGATGAGATGAAGGGCGGATGAGGGGGAGGGAGGACGAGAGGAAGGGCGGATGAGATGAAGGGCGGATGAGAGGAAGGGCGGATGAGATGAAGGGCGGATGAGATGAACGGAGGATGAGAGGGTGAGTGGAAGAGAGGGCGACGGGATGGGAAATGAGGGCGACGGGAAGGGAAATGAGGGCGACGGGAAGGGAAATGAGGGCGACGGGAAGGGGACTGAGGGCGACGTGCAGGGAAATGAGGGCGACGGGAAGGGAATTGAGGGCGACGGGAAGGGAAATGATGGGCGAAGGGAAGGGAAATGAGGGCGACGGGAAGGGAAATGAGGGCGACGGGAAGGGAAATGAGGGCGACGGGAATGGAAATGAGGGCGACGGGAAGGGAGATGAGGGCGACGGGAAGGAAATTGAGGGCGACGGGAAGGGAAATGAGGGCGAAGGGAAGGGAAATGAGGGCGACGGGAAGGGAAATGAGGGCGACGGGAAGCTGAAATGAGGGCGACGGGAAGCTGAAATGAGGGCGACGGGAAGCTGAAATGTGGGCGACGGGAAGCTGAAATGTGGGCGACGGGAAGCTGAAATGTGGGCGACGGGAAGCTGAAATGTGGGCGACGGGAAGCTGAAATGAGGGCGACGGGAAGCTTCTCACCATGCGATATATGAAAGGCGGGCGCGAGAAAACGGCGGGGAGGGGATGGTGACGGCAGGGCGGGAGGCCAGATGCTGAGAGCGCCTCTAGCGCGTGGGAGTCTATTCGGCACCGACGAACGGCGTAAGAAAGCTACGCATTGCAGATGACGGATACTTCCGCCCTGTGACCTATGGGAAGCGAGCGTTGTCGAGTGCCCGTGTATTAGCTTATATTTTTTATCTAGCAGAATAAAACGCCACTTTAGCCCTCGATGTGTCTCGCTACCCCACGTGCGCATTGGCTATAGCACGTCATTGCTATCCTCTCAGCAAACATCGCACTTCACCGGTACAGTCCACACCCAAATTCGCTCCCTTTGGCTCTTCCGCGTTCCTCTAGAATCTAAGGTCGCGCCCTGCTGACACGGAATAAACAACTAATATGTTTGTTCGAGTGCATGTGTGCCTGCTCAAACTGTGCACAGTTTCCCTGGCACGTTGCTTCTCAGGTTTGTCGCATTTGGGAAGAAGGGCCCTGCCTGCTTTTTACAACCACTCAGCACTTCCAAAGTTTGTGGCGAACTGCTTTCAGTCGCAAACTGTTTTTGAGGCTTCGCCTGTCACTCAACCCATCCGAACCTCCAACTGCCAGCCTGCCGAACCTATAAATACTCAGTTGACTTCCGTTGAGTAATTCAGGTCTTGGGCTTTAAATCGACAAAGCGATTACTTTACTATACATAAATCTCTCCAAGCCAAGCCAGCGTGGTGGTGATCGTTGGAACAGCCAAGCGCCACTGCTTGCAGATCCAATGCTACTTATGGTACTGTACGGGCAACACTGTGGGTGTACATACACCTTGTTTTGCGCATCACTAACTTCACTGTTTGTATTGACAAGCCGGTTATTCTGAAAGCAACGCGTCTAAAACGGTCCCATGGCAATAGTATAAACACAATCTGTCGCACTCAATTACGCACTAGCGATTTTCTTTCTCAGCACAGTGCTGTACATGTATAACCAAGTATAGGAAAAATATGCCATTCGTAACCATCATGGGACTCGATTGTCAAGAATAGAACTAGGAATGGATGAGTGAACTAGGCACGAGATGAGTACAAGTAGGGGAAACCTAACCCTAAAGTGTTGTTCTCACTAAGGAGTGACCATACGGTAGCCTAGAGATACAATTGTAATTTGACATCGATAACATATTTGGTAAAACAATAAAGGGTACAGTCACTGCAAAGGGTGTTTTCACCCGACTGATAAAACGTTTCACGTAAGCAGTCACTATCAAGTGGTAAAAAAAACACGAATTGTCATAGATGAAACTCCCGCCAAAACAAAATGAAACCCCAAAAGAATCTGGATGCATTTTCGAATGAATCAACCCTAAACACGTAACTCACCAGGTGTTTAGGGTTGATCCGTTCCCAAACCGCATCCGATTCCGATTGGGTTTTTAGTTTTTTTAGAAGTTAGCATATTGGTTGGGCACGAGCAGGAATTTTGTTGAGTTTCAAGATTTTTTTGCGGGAGTTACATGTGTGATAATTCACGAGATTTTGTACCTGTTGTTAGTGACTGAATCCGTGACCCCACTAACCAAAACCGTCAGAAACCCGATACAGTGACCGTACGCGTTTTGTTTTTACCATTCACGTTATCGAGTCCCAAGTGTTACGAATAGTAATGTAAGAACATTACTGTGCACTCCTCACCGCAGCTAAGGAAGCATGCAGTATCGAGAATCAATGTGAAGGGTCAGAATTGACTCGAAGCGTCAGACGATTAGGGTGGATCGGGACCGTCAGAGCAGACGGCATTGGGCAGCTGCAGGCAAGAGGAAACAGGCGGGAATAGTTTCATAACTGTACGCGCTGCACGGTTGGGAATGAATTTGAATAAGGGAATGTACCCCTTAGTGTACATGGCTAGCTAGGTCGATTCGAATTCCCCTGTACTCATATTTATATCTTTGTGTTTGCATTTTTTCATTATCTCAAGGCATTTTACATTCACTCTGCTATTGAGGTCAAGGGCCCACCAACACTACATAGCTGTGTGCGAACCTTCATGAGGAGATCCTGGGAGCGATCACCTTCTGATCGCAACATGGTATGAGAGCGACTCAGGGATCCTTCGCACTGCCATCTCCGAATTCCGCGACATTCGGAAAGTGGCGTCCGGCACACGATCGCGTGTGAGAATGGCCGGAGGATCTGGTGGTCAGACTAATCTGACGGCTGAAGCGCAACCTAACCCGGCTGCGACAAGCGAGGAAACGACGACGATCGGAACCGAAGTCCTCGCACAACTACTTCAGCGACTCACCAGCTTGGAGCAAGGGCTCCGAACATTGCGGAATGGCGACGCGGGCACCTCCTCGCAACCTTCTCAACCGCCCCAAAATGGCCAGAACGCCGCCCTGCACACTTTCTCCCTCGACACAAATGGCTCAACCCCCAAGACTCCCCGTCCCAGTGAAGAGACAATTCTCTCTTCGCAATCAAGGTTTCTCAGCATATCAAAAATAAAGACAAGTGTGTGCTTTGACGGCAGAGATTTCTATACCTGGAGATTCGAATTCGAGCTCCTGCTGCAGAACGCTCAAATCTTTCATTACTTTGACGGGACTTATGTGGGGCCCGCTGAAGACACCGACGACACCAAAGCAAGATATTACAACGAATCCTTGATGGCGTACAAGGTACTGCGGAATATGTCGCCGGCGGAGCAGTTGAGCATTCGCTCATACAAAACATCGCCTGTTCCAGCCCTCGACGCTTGGCGCCATCTGAACGGCGTGTATCAGCCGAAGGACTCCGTCTCTTCGAGCCGGCTGCTCCAGCAGCTACTAGAAACCAAAATGGCCCCAGGGGAGAAGGCCAACAGCTACATAAATCGCTGTCGGAGCCTTCGCGACCGCATCGCGAAGTTGGGAAGCTCGATATCGGAAGAAATGTTCATGAACATTGTGCTTCAAGGGCTCGGCCAAGAGTGGCGGCCCTGCAAGGCGCTTCTCCGACAGCAGGGGGTCATCTCAGAGGCCGCCCTTTGCGCCGCCCTTCTCGTCGAACAACGGGATATGGATCAGCAGCGACCAGCGCCACGACGAGAACGAGAACGGCTCGCCTTCTATGCCGACAACACTGAAGAGCGACGGCCGCGGCGCCTCTACTGCAAAATTTGCAGAAATTTTGGGCACCTGGCGGATCGATGCAAGTCCCGATCTCGCCCTCGCAAGACCAATCCGAGCAACTGGACTGGCCAACAAGACGCACAAGGCGACGTGCATCCAGCCCAGGGGTATCAACCCCCATCCGCGCGTACCCTGAACCCAGCCGTTCAGCATCAGCTGCAGCAGCCTTCATAATCTGCCCGAATCCGCAACGTCATGATCAACATGGCCATGACGGGCGAGTCACGTCGTCGCCGCGAGCGCTCACCTTCACCTGAGCCAGCACCGCATCCCATTGGCGCGTTTACCAATAAAAACCGTTCAGTCTGCGCCACGATTTCACCGACGACGACGACGACGACTAGGACTGGAACCTTCCAGTCCCGCTACTTGAAAGCCCCCCGCACATACCGGATATGCGGGCGGCGCCACTCGATTGGCTCTCGCGCGGACAATTTCTGAAGTTTGAAACTCCGCACATCGTCACGCCACGACTGGCGCTGCTCGCACGTGACGACAGGAAGCGCTACAACACCTGGTACCTGGACAGCTGCTGCGGCCAGCACATGGTGGGCTCGAAGCGTTACATATCCAACGCCGTCGCCACCCCCACAGTCACCTACATCACCATGGCGAACAACACTCGCCTGCGCGCAAGGCATCATCGTGCTCAAGGCACGCGGAAGCCGCACGCACATCACGCTTAACGATGTGCTCATCGTCCAGAACCTGCGCTTCAACCTGCTTTCCGCCGCCCAACTCATGGACTGCGGCGTCGATCTCAGCACGGACCGCGAGACATGCGACATCCTGCTGCACTACGAATCGAGAACCTTCCCCCGCAGGCAGATCGGAGGAGCGCACTCCGAAAATGGAGTATACGTCTTGGATTTCGACATTCCCGACTGTAGCAGCGATTCGCACGAGCTAATCAACCTCGTGCCACTGCGCTTCGAGCACATTCACCGCAAGGACTGGAAGCACCTTGACGGAAGACCGTGGGTGCCGCATCACCCCCACCCACGCGAAACAGCGCTGCATGACCCTGGCCCAGACGGCATCTGCAGGGACTATCACACGCCAACGGCGTCAACCAGCGCAATTGCCGGCCGCGGACTTGCCGCCATCGCTGAAAACGAGCGCCACGCGCCGCCAGAAGAAGGAATGTCACAGCTGCAGCTTGAAATTACCACGCGCGGCGTGTTCGGCACACCAGAACACCCTCTCGTCGGACCCCCTTCGCAGCATCTCCAAGGCATGCTGCGCGGCACTGGCATCGGTACCTTCGACGCACGCGGAGTTGCGCGCGCCTACACACGGGAGGAATTCCAGAAAGCTTACCCACACTGGCGCGACCCCTCAGCAAAACTCACCGTGGCAGAAGAAGAAGCCCTGGCGTGCCGGGAAGCTGAGGAACTTCGCCGACAGGGTCTCTCCGAGGCGCGCGGGACATTCTCATGCGGCGCATGGGGAGCCGAAGTGGAAGAAAGCGCCTTCAATGAAGGGGGGTGGGGAAGCACTGGCGGATGGGGAACGGCCAACACCGGCGGAACCCTAGCAACCGCAACCTGCGAATGGGGCGCCGCATCTGGCGGCGAAACCAGCGGCTGGGGCACTTCTGCTGACGGCTGGGAGGCTTCCCGCGAAGAACAAAGGGGGGGAGCAGAAGAAACCGAGGTAACACCTGCAGTTGTTCCCCTTGGTCGCCCCCCACACCGTGCCCAACTCGCATTACCTCCCCCCGACATTCTGCCGCATCGCGACCCCTGGGACACCATCGACTGGGGCAACGAGCCGTCGACGCTGCGCTGCACCGTCTACGGACCAGCTCCCGATC